GTCGTGGGACGTAATGGATAAGTGGGGGTGGCGCCCCACCCCGACGGGTTACAGTGGCAATCGTCTCTGTTGTCGTGGGAGCCGAGCGCGTCTGAAGGGCCTGTCAGACAGTGTCCGCTATAGACAAGGTGGCTAGTATATACGGCTCTCACCCGTAGGACCCCGGGTTCGAGTCCCCGGCAGTGGATGAGCGGGCGACGTGGAGACCCGTCCCGTGCCGTCAGATGAGTTGGAACGCTGTCGCCAGAAGCATCACCACGTCTGTGTGTGGCCGAACACATTAAGAGAATCAATCCTCACATAACTTAATTATCCTACGTTTGTGGTATAGTGGCTTAGCGCCTCGTTAACATCGAGGCGACTCACCCGTACGACCGGGGTTCGAGTCCTGCAGCAGCTCCCTTGCTGGTGGCCACCCTCACTGCGGCACAGCCCCGATCCGCTCGGGTCGTCCGCCGAATGTACGATGGGGAGCACTCACGGGTTGGTAACATCGGAGCCCTTCTGCCCGACTCAATTGGGTGTATGGCTCGGAGGTAGAGCAGCTGACTGCAGATCGGCAGGCCCATGGTTCACCGATGTTGTGCTTCGTGCTTGTTCTTTTTTGGGGCTTCGGTTGAACACGTGGGCATCGGCGTTCTGGCTGTCTCGGTCGACAGCCGCTGTTACTGCTCAGATGCCCAAGAGGTCAAGGGGGAAGACCTGGTTCGAACCGTGGGCTGGGGAGCATTATGGCAGGAGTGGGACTCGAACTACAGCATTGTAAGTCGTCGCAGATGATGTGTTCGGGACTTACCTCACTGTGGGTCGGATCGGTAACTGTCAGTGGCGAAAATATATTTGGAGCCTTCCGCATGACGGCTCAATCAATTGGCGGTCGTGGTCTAGCGGCTATGATGTCTGGTTCAAACGCAGTCGAACCGTCGAACCGCGGCGACGCCAGTGTCCTCTAGTGGCCCTGAAGGCCGCCGCTCGTGATAGAACGCCTTGTTGGCCCTCGACTCTTAATAGAACGATAGCATCAAACACGAAGCGCCTTATCGTCCGG